AAGACTCTCTGAAAAGATACACAAGAAGAAAACAAAACAAAAAAACCCCATGCCCTAATAATGGGCACAAAACTAATGTTTGAAATCTAAATCTAAATTGTTAATAAAATGTGCAAAACTACTACACACACATATAATGGAATAGTGAATTTTGTGTTACATTAGATCACCGTATGCTTTCATACTGTATTGGTTGTTTTTCTTGTGTAATTTAAAAACCAGACCAACTCTGCTAATTAAGCTCTCCCTGGCCAGGAGCTCACTTGGATCTCTGACAGTTCCTAGTTAAAGCCTAGTTTGTGGTTTTTGACAACAAACCAAGACCCTGTTGTTTGCTTCAAGAAAGCTGGCTGGTTTTAGTTTCTGGAATTATTCTGGGGGGTACCCTCATCCCAACAAGTCACTAATTGTCTTGACCATGACTTATAGTTGTGCCAGATTTTTCTTCATTGCTTTCTGTTTGAGACAGGTAGTAATAGTGGTGATGAAATTAATGTGAATTCGGTTTTGATTTATGACAGATTATCTTGGAAACAGGAATAGGTGGTATATAGAGATGACTAAGGACAAAGTCAACTAAATCAAATTATTTGAAGTAATATATGTGTTTTTGGCATATACTTTAATTCTTCCACTTATTGCTTCTTAATTAGTCCAAAACTCCAAAGATGAAAATAATATAGGCAAGAGACATTTAATAAGATGAAATGTTTAAAATGTACTACTTCTGATAATGGTACTCAAGGTGAATAGTATTTAGTAATTCTTTTTACAATTTTACTTATTTATTTTGGCATGTTTAGGAATAGGAAAAGACTCTGAATCAGAGACCTTCACTACTTTTATTATTAAATCTACCTCATCTCCCTTTTTGTATCTCCCTACCAGAAAAGAAATGGCCTAAGAATTTCCACCTGCTTGGTATATTTTAAAACATCTCATAACACTTTGATTTCACTAACATATTACCCAAAGCAACTAGTTTCCATCACGTTTACTCTCTTATGAATCCCCAAAGTAAGCTTAAAAGGAAATCACAAGCCTTGTTAAAAAAAAATTAGAACTATTTCTTCCTTCCCTTATATGGTCTACTGGTGTCACTTAACTAAAACTCTTCAGTCTGTGACCTTGAGAAACCTAGAGGCTAAATAGGTGGAGTAGAGTATTGAAGGTCATCCCCTCGCCCACCACCCAAAAAGAAGAGCATATATTCAAACTAACAGGTATGTGTTTTCATAATTATGGCAGATGGTGATTGAAGCAAAGGCAATTCAAAAAGGGGGGCACGTGAAAGCAATAATTTTGAATGTTTGACATTTGTTTTGAAACTACCTTACTACCCTGTACCCTTTACCATCTGTCTGTTATCCCTCCCAACACCCACCTCTGTCTTCCCACAGGGCCCCATTGTCTGCAGTTCCTGTTTCTCAGGGGCGGAGCTGTGGGAGGCAGCCATGGGTGCCATAATAGGCACCTGCGGCCAGCACAATGGGCTGTGGGTGCTTGTGGGAGAGACAGATTGATGTATTGTGCATGGGGGAGGAGGGCTGTCACTTGAATCCATGTGAACCCAGGCTTTAGGGGCAAGGGAGATTGACAGCTTTTGTAGGTTGCATTTCTTTTTCAAAGCTTGGCTTTAATAGACAGTAAGTTTGGGGCCCCAGGCTTTCACTCCCATAATTCTAACAGGGCAATCACGAGCATTCAGCATTTCTTTTTACCCCCCTTGTTACGCATTAAATGATTTCAGTAAAGGAATGTGCAGCATTAATTAGAATTTGTTAGCAGATACCAAGGGGAAAAGTTTCTTCACAACAACTATAGGAGGTGTCATTTGTACAAAGACTTTTTTGTTTTCTTTCCCCATTACATTATCACTGCAATATGTAAGGTAGTGATTCTTTTCATTTAAATTAAGTGGAAAGCTACTAAATCTTGTTTTATTCTCCAAAAAGAATAAGGTCCTTAACACTTATCTTTTAACTTCTTTCATTTCCTAAGGTTGGTGTTTACTTTTGCTTTCAGTCTGACCCATTTACTGGTCTGTGTGGTTGTGTATCCAGTTTTGTGTACCATTTAGCTCTTACAATTACAAGCAACCCACTACTGATATATAAGGATTGTTTCCAGGTGAAAATAGCTAGCAATAATACTGGAGCTCTTTTCGGTAATGGTATACTGAGAAATGATAAAAATTAGGCTGCTATAGGTTTGTGTCCTAACTTATTTTCTAACACTATTTTTTCCCTACTTGATATTTAACCTTAGCCATGACATCAAAGTTATGGAAAAATGAGGCGGTGGCAAAGGAATATTTTTTTCCCACAGAAAACTTACTCCTAAACCATGTCAGTTTTTTTTTAAACATCAAAAGTTCTGCCTCACACACATACACAGATAGCATCATTTCCTTATAGCAAGTAAAAAATGGTCCTTTTGCTTAGTATCTGTTTTCTATTATTTTAAAAATAATCTAGACATTTTAGAATTATATAGGAATTATATCTGACTAATGTCAGATAGGATATCTTGTAAACACACTCTTTGGCATCCAGGGAACTAAAAAAACATTACGAAAATTCCTGGTGTGATTTTTTTTTCTAACATCTGTCTTACATGAAATCATTTTCTCAGTAAAAGGAGTTGGAGGCTAATTGAATTAGAATTTTCCCCACTCAATTGTTTTATTTAAATGTGTTAAGGACAACAGTGAAAAATATTGTCTACCATTATTTCTCAGAAAGAACATATTCCCACACAGTTGTCTGGCTCTGTCTATAATAATAATTTGGTGCAATGGTTTAAAAAGTAGTGGAGTGATAATAATTAGAGTGTGCGACACAGAAATTTCAATGTGGGATTCAACATTTCACCATGCAGGGCATGAAAATTGCCGACCAGGGCTAGTCAGCTCTAAGTACTAATTAACTAATTAATCAGGTGCTGAAACCAACTGAATGGAGGATACCAGCCAGACAACTCAAGCCCAAGCAGAGGGTTGTGCTCTTTAAAAGACAGAGCAGTCTTTCTTCTTGGTTTTTAACCCAATCAAAAATGAGAAGAGAAAGTAGGATATGGTGTCCTACTGTCAGTCATTTGGGTCCAAGCTTTTTACTTAGAGAAAATAAAATAAAAACATGTGCCTGTGATAATAACTGTGTTGCACCATATATAGGGCAACCCTCAAAGCTCTGCAAAACTGGTTACTCCTTGGCCATCAAGTATTAATACTTCAGGTCTGGTGAGGGGTGGGGGAATGAAGTAGGGTCTGCCTTCTTGGTTTCTTCCACAATGTATATTTTTTTAACATACAAGAATGAGAAACGTATCTCTCTTCTTAGGCTGATCTTAGGTCTTTTGCCTCATCCTTCATTTATGTAAATGAGAAGAGTCCAATTACACATATGGAAAAAGGGTTTAATGAATCGTGAAAAAGCCCGGTTTGCAGAGAAAGGGCACAATTCTCTCTTCTTCTCTTTTAAATTTAACTTAGAAACATGTATTTCTTTTAAGGAAGATGATAAAACTTAATGATAATTTTATTTTATGTACTAACTTTCATTCTTGGGAATTATTAGACGTATTTTGCTAGAAGATTTGGCTTTATTTATGTCTGTAGGGCTTTCTGGATACATAGCAACTATTCCACAACAAAAACTGCAAAATTCAAACTTTTTTATCTAAATCTTAAAAATGATTAGATTTGTTCCTCCCACTTTTGATGTTATTTTTAGTTTAGTGATTTTTTTTTTTCTTCTAACACAGTTAGCTTTGGAATTGTCTGTACTGAGAAAAGACTGCATTATTACAAGGGATTTATTATTGAACCCAAGGAAATGGTATTAGTGTTCCATACCGTTTTAGCTTAATTTTGGTATTATTATGATGTTTTAAGTAGCTAGAATATTTAGGGTGTTGAAAATTAGGAAAGTTCTTTTCTTTATTTCCTAAAAGAGACTGAACTTTACATTAGAACAGAAAATCCCGTGTTTGAGCATTCATTTTTTTTTTCCTTTTTTCTTTCCCCTTACTTCATCTTGGAATTTTCAATAGTTGACAGTAGTCGTCATAGAATCTACTCTTCACCCCATTTTTCTTAATGACAAAAATCTTCGCAAGAATGGAGGGGGGAATCAATATCATTTCTGACCGTTACTCTTAGAATTTGGTAAGTATGAATCTAACCCCGATGTAGTGCTTTGAAGGGACAGCAGGGAAAAGTTCTCGATCAGGACTGGAGCGCTTTCTGACGACCTAGTTTAACAACTTCCTTGGACACTTGGGGAAACTGAGGCCCAAGAAGAGGTGGCAGGCACTTTCCCTGTGATTTTTTTTCTTCTACCAAATACTACTTTGGTCCATGGAAAACACTTTCCTCGGGCACCTAGTGTGGGGAGGACATTGCTGGGGTCCAGACTGCCTACATAGCCACGAGGGCCGCGCTCTTTTCACTTTTATTCCCCCGGCCTCCCCGGATCGGCGGCCTGGATGTGATCGACACCATGAAGTTGCCCCATAATCCTCTCTGGCAACATAGGATGTAAAATTTGATCAGCTCATTGGATGAAGCCGACAAGTCCCAAACGTGTGAAAAAGGGGCTAAGAGGTAGGCAAGTGCCGCGTTGAGGCAAAGCTCCTGCCAGCCCCCCTCCGAGATATCGGTGCTGCAGCCGCGGCGCTAGCGGGGGCTGGGACCGAGCTGCGGGGCCGCAGCGGCGGCGGCAGCCACCGAGGCGGCGGCGGCGGCGGCGGCGGGGAGGCCGCGGCGCCATGGGGGGGCCTTAGGAGCGGGCCGCCGGGCCGGAAGGGGGCAACGCGGAGGCGCGGGCGGCCGCGGGGTTATCTCCGCCACTGCGGAGGAGACAGCGTCCGCGCGGTTGCCGTTGACTGAGCCGGCGGGAGGGGCGGGGCGTGCACCAGGGCCGCGGGCGGCTAGCGTCGTAGCAGTTGGCCTGAGGGCCCCGCCGCCCGCCCGCCCGCCGGGCGGCGCACGCGAAGGAGGCGGCGGCCTCAGAAGGAGGCGGGGAGCTCGGAGCAGGAGGTGAGGAGGTGGAGGAGCAAGAGTAGGCGGCTGCGGCGGCGGCGGCGGCGGCGGCGGCGGCGGCGGCGGCGGCGGCGGCGCAGGAGGCGGTGGTGGAGGTGCGCGGCCTGAAGAGGAGGATGGAGGAGCAGCAGAAGGAGGGCGAGGCCGAGGTCGCGGAGCACTGGTTTTCCAAGTGGGAACGCCAGTGCCTGGCTGAGGCCGAGCAGGAGGAGCAGCTGCCCCCCGAGCAGCAGGAGGAGGCGGCTGCAGAGTTGGCGGGGCTCAAGAGCGAGAAGCAGAAGCTGTGGCACCTCTTCCAGATCTCCGCCACCGCCGTTGCACAGCTTTACAAGGATTCTGGGTGTCAACAGCCAGGACTTTCCATGTGGGACCCCTTCCAGAATGCAGCCATGGCCGTGACCAGCCTCTACAAAGAGAGCGGGGATGCCCACCAACGAAGTTTTGACTTGGGTGTCCAGGTTGGCCACCAGCGTCGCATCAAAGATGTGCTGGAGTGGGTGAAAAAGGGCCGGAGCACCATTCGTCGCGAGGACTTGATTAGCTTCCTGTGTGGCAAAGTGCCCCCCGCTCCTCCTCCGCCTCGCACTCCTAGAACACCTCCGAAGGCACCCACTGGGGCCACCAGCCAAGCTGTGGCAACTGAGTCCAGCTCATCGGTGGACGTCGACCTGCAGCCCTTCCAGGAGGCGATCGCCCTTCATGGCCTCAGTGGCGCAATGGCCGGCATCAGCATGAGATCGGCTGACTCGCCTCAAGACAGCGGTGTCGCCAGCAGTGGGCGCCGAAAAAGTAGCTTCTTGGAGGACGACTTGAATCCCTTCAACTCAGAGGAACTGGCCCTACACCTGGACAGTGGGGGGATCCGCAAGCGCACCTCGGCCCAGTGCAGTGATGGCATCACAGACTCCCCAATCCAAAAGCGCAACCGAATGGTCTAAACTGCCTCATTGGTTGCCTGGCGCCATATTGCTTGAGAGTGAACTGAACCATCAACACGCTTGTCTAATTGTTACTGGAGACCATCTTTCTTCCTTTCTCTAAGTTAAAGATTTCTATCAATTTTGCCATAAAGAAACTTTAAAAATATTCCAGAAGAGGCTTCATATGACTCTGACTTTCCAAAAATGTAATCCTAGCAAAGAATAAATATGTAGTAGTTTGCAGGATCATTTAAAGCAAACCTATCTGGTCAAGGCAGGAGTCTGATTTATCTTGTTCACAGCTATATTCCTCAGCACCTAGCACAGTTTCAGGTGCTCAATAAATGTTTGTTGAATGAATAAATTTGACCTTATTTATTCTTAAAGGGAAATCATAGACGTTGTTTACTTGGTTATAGAATACTTTTTCTTTGGTTGATTGTTGGCTTTAATGGTATTTGCCAATTCATTTGCATTGTATCAAAATGTAAAACTTGACATCTTTGTGAAATCCGGAGGCTTCCATTTTTACCTCACTGTACCATGCACCTAATTTCTAGAAAGAAACTGCAAGTAATACATATTAGGCTGTGATTTTCTAATTTTGAAAAATAGTTGATTTTGGTGATTATGTGATGCTGCAAAGAGGTGCTGTGTTGGTTATGCAGGTATTACTTGATATTGAGTCAATTCAGTGCTCTTTTGGAGAAAACTAAACCATCAATTGAGATCTTGATAAAATAAGATGGTGGCTCAGTGGTGCCGTTTTTTCTTAGGAATATAAAAAGTTCCTTTTTTTGAGGTTACATCTTTTTTGTAATCTCTGTTTTGAAGTGAAAGACTACGTAGGCAGAATGAACTTCTGGGTTTTAATTAAGGATACAGCATGGTATAACTAAAAGTATGAGCTTCGTTTTAAGAGGACCAGCAGAATCCTAGCTTCATAAATTAACTGCATGATCTTGAGCAAATTATTTAATGTCTATTGACCTCAGTTTTTCATCTATAAAATGGAACTGTGTGTCTCCTAAGGTGGTTGTGAGGATCAAGTGAAGTTTATATTTCAAGTGTCCAGCACAATGCTTGGTAGATAAAGTACTCAATAAAGGTTATCCCTTCTCTATAAATAAAAATCAATACAACATTAAAATCATTACATTTTAGAAAAAGCAGAAAAATAGATCAGTTTTAAAATCAGCAAGTAGAATCTCTGTGTTTGAGCTGGAAACTACTCTTCCACATTTCTGCCTAAATATCACAGATCTTGTATAAGTGTGTTGAGCTCATGAGCACGCAGGATCACCAATCTGGATACTAGGGCAGTGTTGGAGTGCCTGAAGTTGCCTGAAGGATGCACTTTGCAACCAGGAGTAATAAAACATCTACCCCCTCTAGTCTGAAAAAATATGAGAAGGAGGGTATAAGGGTAGAAAAAAATTGGAAGCAAAGGTCCTAGGGCACCTAAAAGGCTAACATGGTTTTGAATGAGGGTGGGGTGGTGTGGAGGTGATGAAGGAGGTAGAGCAGGTATGGGGTCTGGGGGGTGGGGGAAGTGAGGGGAGGTGGGAGTGTGATTATTGAAGGAGTAGGGGGAAGTTAAAAAGCCCAAGTCTCCCCAGGGTCTCCCAAAACCAGTGCATAAAATATTGTAGATTGGCAAAACATAGCCTTTGTGTTCACATTAGAGTTGTTTCTGCTTCATTAGTGTGGCCTTTCCAGTAGATTTGTAATTAATGAATGTATTAAAATAATGAAATGAAATAAAGCAAATAATAAAAACTGGCTGGGCACGGTGGCTTACACCTGTAATTCCAGCACTTTGGGAGGCCTAGGTGGGTGGATCACCTGAGGTCAGGAGTTCAAGACCAACCTGGCCAACATGGTGAAACCCAGTCTCTACTAAAAATACAAAAATTAGCCAGGCATTGTGGTGGGTGCCTGTAATCCCAGCTATTCAGGAGGCTGAGGCAGGAGAACTGCTTGAACCTGGAAGGCGGAGGTTGCAATGAGCTGAGACCATACCATTGCACTCCAGCCTGGGCAACAAGAGCGAAACGCAGTCTCAAAAAAAAAAAAAAAAAAAAAATGGCTATTGAGGCACTGTGCTAGGTTCTGAGAAGGAATATTAAAAATATAAATACAATTCTTATCCTCAAAGAGCACATCTGCCTTGGAAGATAAATTATGTAGCCAAAAGGGTGCTTCTAACTGGGAAAAGTGCCCAAGGTCTGTGCAGAATTCAGAGAACAGAGACTCTTCTTGCTGAGAGGGTCACAGCTTCTGGAAGAAGTAGCATTTGAATCAGGCCCAGAAAAATGGGTAGGGAGTGTCCAGGGATGCCAAGGGAGGACAATGTCTAACAAAGGTTGAGAAGGAGCAAACAATGAAGTGTGTTCAGGGAATCACAGTAATTGGGTAGGAGAGGTATGAGCCAAAGTGTTTAGGGTCTCAAATGCTTGGCCCCAGTACTTTAGGTTTCTCTAGGAGCAGGAGGTAATACCACTCACTCTGTGCTTTAGGAAGATTAGTTTAACAGAATACCTGCTTGTTCAAAAGTGAGACACTGGGGCAGAGACAGAGACAGGACAGGTTATCCCTGTGGGATGCATTTTACTGGGGATATTGCCATTTGGTTAACCCATGGTGAGGGAGGTGTTTATCTTGACAGGGCTTTCTCTGACAAGCCTTTGTTCATCCCACCCTTCCACACCAGAAAGCTTACAAGATAGGAAACAGTTCCACTGTGTTCTACAATGCCTCTTGAAGGCTAAGAAAGCCTTTACTTCCAACAGCAGTATCTCTTAGAAGGCTAGTTTTGAGGAAACAGTGGCCATTCCCTTTTTTTTTCTTCCTGCTTATGCAGTGGAATCATTGGGTCTGTAAGACTGATCAAGTGCAGCAGTTTTAGCAGGTAGGTAGGGAAGGTCATAAGAGGTCATGTTAATATGAGGGCAAGGACCTCATTTGTCTTGTTTACTTCTGTAATCCCTAGTACCTAGTACAGTGCCTGATTCATATGGGCACACAATGAATATTTATTAAATGAGTGGATGAGGACTCCATCCAGACCCAGGTATATCTATTCTGCTTCCCTCCTTCTCTATTTACTTATTGCCCAGGGAAGGCACCTGAAGCCCATACCCTAATTTCTAAATAATTCTCTGCTGTGTGCCTTTACCCTCTTTCCTAATTACTAGATTCAGCATTTTGCAGTGTGGTTGGTCCCATGACCACCGCTCATGAGAATCTTTTGAGGAGTTTGTGAAACTGGTGACTTCAGAATTGCCCTTGCTGAATTAAAATCTCAATAAGAGGTTCCCCAAAGCTACCTGCTTTCAGGAGGAGGTCTCAGTAATTGTGTTGCACAGTAAAGTCTGAAAACCCACCCTGAATTTGATTGTGATGGATTCAATTGATGGATCAAGGGGCTAATTTTAAATTGATCATTGTTGTTGAAGTTTCTGTGCAGGCTTAAAGTGAATCTCCCCATTTGTAGATATCTTTATCATCACTTTGCCTATTTCATGCATTCTCTTCCTGGGAACTTAGTTAGATAAGACTGAGGCAAACACTTGTTAATAACTGAAATTTCCTCATTATTTTCTTTTTATAGGAGGCTGAGAGAAGAAGGCTCTGATTTCCTAACCTCTAGCTATATATTTTCACTCTGCTTTCTAGTGAAAATTGCATATACACTGATAGTTTGGAAACACTGCAGTTTAGATCACTTTGCCTTTTATAAAGTGATGATGGAGTGGGAGCCAGGGGAGGATTAGCTGCTGATCACCTTGGGCCTTTGTGGAGGTCCACGGACCTTTATGTTTGACCTTCTAGTAGTATATGCACGGTTACTAGATTGCAAATACAAAGCAAAAAGGGACTTTAAGGATTATTCAGGGCAGGGTCAGCTATTCATTTTACAAATGCGGCAGCTGACCTCACTAGAAAGGGCCACAGTGACTTATTGGGAAGTTCCAGTCCGTTGCTCCCTTCACTGTACCTCCCCTAGTTACATTGTGTCTGACCTTGTAATTAATATGTTGATGGTCAGGTGGTGCTGGGGAACTTGTATTATGAAGCTGCTCCGGCATGGTAAGCATACTCTTTTTACTATGCTGTGTTTATTTAGGGGAAGCTGTTGGAATTGTGCATTCAGGGAACCCAAGTGACCCTTGCCACTGCCACTGCGTTCTAGCCACCAGCCAAATTAGCCTACTTGAACACTTGAAGTTTCCTGAATTTTCCATAATCTCTGCCTCTGGGCCCTTTTGCCTTGTTGCTCCCTGGAATACTTTCCGTGCTTGCTTAACTCCTATTCAGCCTTCAAAGCTCACCTCAGGTTTTACCTTTTTTTTTTTAAAAATACCTTCCTTGTCCTTCTGAGTCAGGATTAAATCCCCACATATTGGACTTACCTCTGTAATTGTCAGTTTGCTTCTTTGTCTGCCCTACTAGTCTGTAAACCATCTATTCTTACCCCAACAGGCTCACTTCCCTAGGGAGGTGTGTAAGAATTTCCATGATTGCATGTGTAGGTTGAAAAAGCATACTCAACATTACACTACACATTTATGTGTTTTTTTTTGTTTTTTTTTTTTT